CATATAGATGGTTGTTGCTTTTTTATCCATTCTATTACTCTGTGTCTTTTGATTGGTGCATTCAGTCCATTTACATTTAGGGTGATTATTGAAAGATACGTACTTATTGCCATTGCAGGCTTTAAGATTGTGGTTACCAAAGGTTCAAGGTTAGCTTGTTTACTCTCTTACTGTCTAACTTAACTTGCTTATTGAGCTATTATAAACAGTGTCTGATGATTCTTTATTTCTCTCCCTTCTTATTCCTCCTCCTCCATTCTTCATATATTGGGTGTTTTGTTCTGTGCCCTTTTTAGTAGTGTTCCCATCTAGAGCAGTCCCTCTATGATACCCTTTAGAGGTAGTTTGCGTGAGGCAAATTACCTCAACTTTTGCTTATCTGGTGTTTAATCCCTCCTTCATATTTAAATGACAATCGTGCTGGATACAGTATTCTTGGTTCAAGGCCCTTCTGTTTCATTGCATTAAATATATCATGCCATTCTCTTCTGGCCTGTAAGGGTTTTGTTGAGAAGTCTGATGATAGCCTGATGGGTTTTCCTTTGTAGTGACCTTTTTTTTTTTGGCTCTCACTGTCACTGCCTTTAATACTCTGTCCTTGTCTTTGATCTTTGCCATTGTAATTATTATGTGTCTTAGTGTTGCCCTCCTTGGGTTCCTTGTCATGGGAGTTCTGTGTGTTTCTGTGGTCTGAGAAGCCATTTCTTCCCCTACTTTGTGGGAAGTTTTCAGCAATTATTTCTTCAAAGACACTTTCTATCCCTTTTTCTCTCTCTTCTTCTTCTGGTACTCCTAGGATGCGAATATTGTTCTTTTTGGATTGGTCACAGAGTTCTCTTAATATTCTTTCATTCCTGGAGATCCTTTTATCTCTCTCTGCATCAGCTTCTCTGCGCTCCTGTTCTCTGTTTTTTTGTCCATTAATGGTCTCTTGAATCTCATCCATTCTGCTTTGAAGTCCTTCCAGAGATTGTTTTATTTCTGTATTCTCCCTCCTTGTTCTTGCATATTTCTCTGCAAGTCCGTCAGCATGGTTATGACTTTTGTTTTCAATTCTTTTTCAGGAAGATTGGTTAAATCTATCTCCCCATGTTCCTTCTCAGGAGAGGATGTTGAAGGTGTCTGGGTTAGCCTGGTCTGGATCAAATTTTTTTTGCCTTTTCTTGTTGATAGATGCAGTGGTATGTTATTGACTCTTCTGTCAGCTGGGAGAGCGAAGACCTTTTCCACCTGCTCCTGGCCTTTCTTTACTGAGACAACGGCGACCCCTGGTGGCTTGTGTTGGGCATTTGTGCGTAGACTGGATCTGTGTCTTGCCCACCCGCTATGGAGGAAGCTCCTTTGCTGTGGGCATATCGAGCCTCAGGCTGCTACTCTGCTATAGTGGGACACCAGAGTGGGAACAGATAGGGGGGCTGTTTATCACCGTGAGGGGTCTCAGAGCTGCTGCCCAGGGGGTAAGGGTGCCTGGAGTTCCCCAGAATTCCCAGCTGCTGGACTGAGTGTCCCAGGATGCTTCCATCCAGCTGTGGGGTCCCTGTCCCTTTAAGACTTTCAAAAAGCTCTTGCTTTTCTTTGTCCCAGGGGTGCCAACTGTGGGGACCCTCTCACAGGTCTTACTGTCCTGTTTCCCTAGTATCCAGCACCCCACGCCTGGGTGTGGATGGCTAGGGCTGGCTATTTAGCAGTCCTGGGCTCCTTCTCCCTCCCTGCTCCGACTCCTCTCCTCCCGCTGGGAGCTGGGGTGAGGGGCACTTGGGTCCTGCTGGGCAGGTGCTTGTATCTTACCCCCTTCGCCAGGTGCTGGGTTCTGGCGGGTGTGGATGTGGTCTGGCTGTTGTCCGGTATCTTCTGGTCTCTCTTTTTGGGATAGTTGTATTTGTTGTATTTTCAAAAATATTTGTTTTTGGGAGGAGATTCCCACTGTCCTACTCACGCCACCATCTTGGCTCTGCCCTCTTTAGCATTCTTATAGAACAAAGTTGTTCAATGTTGAACTTCAAATTATCAATTATTCCTTTATGGATTTTGCTTTTGGTGTCATGTCTAAGAACTCTGCCTAACCCTATGTCATTAAGATTTTCCCCTATGTTGTGTTCTAAAAGTTTTATGGATTTGTATTTACATCTGTGGTCCACTTGTGGTAAATTTTTGTACAAGTTGTGAGGATTAGATAAATGCCTATTTTCTGAACAATTCTCCAAATATATACAGGTGGTCAACAGGACACATGAAAAGATGCTGTGAGAAACAGTAGAGTGAATTCTCAAAAAAATTGAACATAGAATTACCACAGAGTACAGTAATTCCACTATTACTCACAAAGAACTGAAAGTAGGGAAACAAGATATTTGTACCTATGTTCATAGCAACACATTTCCAATAGCTAAAAGGTGGAAACAACTCAAATGTCCATCAAAGGATGAATGGATATATATATATTGCATATATACATATATATATATATAGAATATTATTCAGCCTTAAAAAGGAGGGAAAATTCTGGCACATGCCACAGTGCGGATGAACCTTAAAGACATTATAGTAAGTAAAATAAGCTAGATTGAAGAGGACAAATATTGTATGATATCTTATATATGGTGAACCTAAAATAGTCAAATACATGAGACAAAAAACTGGACAGTGGTTACCAGGGGCTGGAGGAAGGGAAGAATGGGCAATATTGTTTAAAGAGTACAGAGTTTCAGTATGGAATGATGGAAAATTTCTGAAGATGGATGCTGGTGATGGTTGTGCTTGTGAATGTACATAATGCCACTGAACTATACATTTAATAGTAAATTTGTTATGTCTGTTTTACTGCAATTTTTTAAAACAGGGAAAAATCTTTTCTAGGTATCAATGACATAGTGCTTATGTCAACAGCTATGGATTGTGGCAATTTGCTACCTCCTTTAATTTTCATTAAGCTTTATATACTTATATGGGAGTTCAAGCTCTACTCCCTTTTTGTACTTTTTCTTTCTGGTTTATATTAGTTTTTCCCTCTCTGCACACTTCCCCTGCCCTCCTCTGTGGCTCTTTCTTAACCCTTGATGTCATAGGATGGGAATATTCAAGAAGACAAGTTTTTGAAAGGCTTCTTGGATTCTAAAAATTTTCTTCTATTTTTAATATGCTAAAATGTATCTTTAATCATGAATGATTGTTTTATTTAATTTCTGATTCAGCTATGATTGCAAATTTTTTCTTTAGTCTGTTAACATGGTATATTCCAGTAATGGATTTTCTGATGAACCATTCTTACATTCCTGGAGTCCCTGTACCTGATCATATACTGCTGAGTTTGATTTGCTATTTAGGATTCTTGTCATCTAGATTTTTGCTTTTCCTGTACTATCCTGAGTTTTGTAAGGGTGTGGGGTTTTACCTAACACAGAAGTTTTGAGTTAACTTGTTACTGTTTTGTGGATAATGGTAGAAGACGCAAGACTCCTGGGACACAAATGACTTTATTGTGCACAGCATAACAAGTAGCCTGAGCATTTGCCTCAGTACCTCTTGACCCCTAAGTCCTATGGAAGCAAAGTGAAAGGACTCAGTTGAATGCTGTACATGCTTGTTTGTACAGCTGAGCCTGGGGAATTCACCTTTCTTATACGTGGCCTGATCTTTGTCTCAGACCTCATCCTTCAAGATTTTTCATTGATAAGTGGTCCCAGCAAAGAGTGATCTGGGCCTTACATTCTTGACATAGCTAGTAAGAATGTACAGGGAGTTTTAAGGTCCAACATAGGTCGCCTTCCTCAGCATGGTTCTATACCAAGCTTACATTAACTTCCACTAGTATGATTAACATTCTTTTTTTTCTAATCCCAGAAACTATTTGGAGAAGCTAGGGATTTGTGTTGCTTAGCAAATGGCACCTTGTTTTAGGGTAGAATTTTGATGTGGTGACCGTTCTTACACTAATTGATTTTCTATTTTTTTGAGTGAACATTTATATTTTTCTAGAAAAATCTAAGGTTCTCAAATATATAGTCTGTTTTTATAATCTATTATATTTCTATCTCCTTTTTCATTCAAGACCCTGTTTTTTCCCCCCACAAAGTATCAGCTTTTGGTCCATATTTGACAGTTCTTGCATTTTTCTCTACTCGCTATCCTCCTCTTCCTGTTCCACGAAGCCAGGGGAACTAACTACTTAAATCTTCCATATTCAGTAATGGGTTCAAACTGGGGAGGGAGCTGTCATTCCTATTCATCCTGTTTTGTGGGTTGGTCCAGCACACCTTCCAACTTCAGACTACCTGTGAAAGGAATAGGTATGAGCCTGTGTTCCCTAAGTGTGAACATTTCCAGCTATTCCAGACCATCCCCATCTTGCATTGATCTAGCAGTGGCAATAGGGTAGGTCTGTGGGCAGGATTCTGAAGTAGAGGAATCATCCAGCCAGAGGAGATGCCGCATCTCATCCTTTCAAGCACCCTCAATCCAAGTAATTCTCTTGTTCCCGTATCTACCTCTTACACTTTGGGGAATAGAAATGCTGGTTTGATTGTCTCTCAGAAGGCCTTAGGTGGTGTGTAGGGTCTTGTCAAATTTTTTGATTGGATAAATTCTCTTTAGAATGTAGAGTATTAATGCTTCTTGAGCTTAAGGCTCTGATTATTAAAACAAAAAGAAGTTAGGGACAGCTTGGAACAAACTGTGGACCAATATTTTTTGAAGTACCTTTGTGATAAAGAATTTAAAATTGAATAAGGCTACATAATACAATAATATAAATGAATTGTTAGGTATATAATCTAGATTGTACTTGAGAAAATCATACATCTCAAGTTCACAGAAAAAAAAGTAAAATGGTGGTTACCAGGGGCTGAGGAATTGCTTAGTGAGTAGAGTTTCAGTTCTGCAAGATCAAAAAGTTCTGCAGGTCCATTGCACAATGTGAATATACTTAACACTACTGAATTACACATTTGCAAGTGGTTATGATGATTAAAAAAAGAAAATAAGACATCTGATATCAAGCTGACATGGAGAATTTATTTTGTAGAAAAGCAACATCTAGAGAACACCACAGAGAGGTCTGGTATGTCTAAAGTACTACCTATAAAAATGACAATTGTTCTTAATGACAACACTGAAGCCCTGAAAGATACCAAAGTACACTCTGAATCCAAGTAGTCAAATTATACTCAATCTGGTTTTAATGTCTATATATTTCAAAGTTCTAATATGCTGACATTTGATACCAGGTAACTAGAACATCCAATCACACAGCTTGGGGAGATACATACTTGGTGCTATCCAAGTTTTCTGGCAATACATAAACTTACTTATCTGGTATACCTCCAAATATCTTAAATTTCAATTGCTTGTTTCAGTGATATATTGCTTGAATTTGTTACATATAGACTTATTATACAAAGTAAATTAGTAAAAAGTGCTCACTCTCATTGTGGTATTATGGGAAAAATACTCTGACAAAAATGTTTATGTATGAACTCTATACTACTATTGCCTTTTTAATTTAAATCTAAATTTTCCCTATTTTATAACCAGTTTATGGTTTTTTTGGTAAGAAATCTATACCTTCTTAATTCTTATAGAATGTTTTCTTTTTCTCCTTATTTCTTCATGTAAATTCAGTACAAGCTTTATTGGTATCTTAGGCTTCATGTATACTTTTATTTCTATAATGCCAGCAATTCTTCAGAGGCCTAAAATCCACCAGGGAATTACTATATTAAATCACTTCCTGAAATACACAGAATATGTCATGTCAAATCTCTTATTTAGACAATAAACTGGTAAAATTGGTAAACTGCACATAGAGCTTACATTCCCAATATAAAATAACTTAAATCTTAAAAAGTACCTTTATGTTACCACCATAACTGACCCTGTAAGCATAACAAATGATGATATTCAATACAAAAATCACAGAATCAACTCACCTTAAATGCTGCCTATCACAGCACACAGTCACCTCCCTGACCTATTCAAACTACAGACAGCAATTTTTTTAAGCTACTTTAGCATTTATACCCTAATTAGAAATTTATACGAAACACAATTTTATGTTCAAATATAGAAATAAGCAACATAATTCCAAAACCCAAAAGTATCCCAGCATTCTGTAAAAAGAAATATCCCCAGCGGCTACATCCATGGTCACTAGCATCATTGTGCAGCATCTCAGGTACCTTAAGAAAAAAAAAAGCCATCTTTTAAGTTTTCAGAGCCACGTATTAGTTTTTAGAAGAATTTGCAGGACAGTATGTTAGCTTAATATGTAGCTGCATATACTGAGTCAATCCCTTAAAACATGACCACATACATTACATACTGACTCTAGTTAACAATATTACATGGCATTTCCTAGCAATTTAATTGACAATGATTATTCATGGTCTGCTCAGCAAGTCAAAATATATTGGTCCAGTTTGCTCCACTGTAAAACGGAGACTATACTCATTACCCTGTGTCAGTTACTGCCTGTATCTGAACTGAATGTTAACAGGTGGCTTACCTGAAGTTCAGAGATACGGAAAACTTACACTATATAAAATAAAATTTTAGCTATAAGATTGGCTGGGATTATTATGTGGACTTTGATGACAAAAAGATGTGACTCCTTTGTCCATTAATAAAGAACTTCTGAGTATTCTAAAGTACATACAGAATTCCAACAATATTTGTTAGGTTCCCGACAATCTGTCATAATTCATTGCCTGATTACTGAGATTCAACTCTCAAAAAGATCCATCAGAAGAGGACAGTTATTTCTGTGTGTCCTGCTACTCCTTAGGCAGGACAAAGATGTGCTTGTCATTAACAATCCAAAAAGATAAACTCTTGAGGACTCCCTGTATTATATACACTACCTTACTGAGTGTAGAATCTCTTCTCATCACTAATACATTTAATCTAAATACTTCTTTAAAATGAGGTTTCACTAAACATTTTCTCTATTTCATTGTTAGTCAATACTATAATTTGACTTCTTAAAAACTTACCATATCAACCAGAGCAACATACATGAATAAGCCAGCAGTAAGTGCAAATATCCACATAGAAACATTTTCAGCATAATGACCAATGAAAATTCCTGTCGCCATTCCAAGATATGCCAGCATGGCTGACAAGGCATTATAAAGAACAGCCTGCTTAACAGTCATGCCAGCCTTTAGTAAAACAGCAAAGTCACCTTTATTAGAAAACAAAAGAGAGGAAAAAAATAATTGAAAAATTATATTTGACACATACCCAAGAGACTTCCCATATTTAAGAAATTCTCTAAGTTTTTTGAGAAAAAAATCAAAATTAAGAATTACCTAGGGCTAAAAGTCTTAATCAGTGTAAATCACCCTAACAGCTCTCTACACTATTTTTTGGGTAAATTTTACGGATAAGAATTTTTTATCCATAGTCTTTCTTAAGGCTTCCACTTCTGTCAATGAATGATAAATAGCATGAACCTACTACTGCGCTCTTGCTTTGTCTTCAAGGAGCTTATTGGCCACAAAGAGGAGGATGGAGAACACACATGAAATGATCAGCATGATAAAGGGAATATATAATTAAGAGGAGTCTAATCCTCCAGTTACAAAAGAAGAAAAATAAGTTAAGATGGGAATAGTTAAGGGAAGCTTTATGGAGCATGATGGTCTAGAACATGTAACATAAACCACATGTTGAAGATTATAGGCACTGAGCAGGCAGATGGGAAGCCCTTTAAGTGGCAGAATACATGCCAAGGAAACAGTACCATAGGTGTGTGCAAATATGTATCTTTAGAAGAAAAACAGGGCATGGACTGGGATCCAGAGCTACTCTGGGAAGGTTTTAAGTCTTGGTGACAGAGAAAAAAAATATTCAAATCACAATTCATAAACCTCCCGTTTCTTCAGCTCCAATGAGATTCTCTTGACAACTTCTGTTAATGGAAGATGACTCCTTTGATTCCTGTGGCGTTATTCATATTGTGTGTATGAAGACAATGATCACTGATGTCACCAGTATGCTAATATAAGAAGATATTTGGAAGGGAAGAGGACAAGAGAAGGGGCGGCTCATGTACCTCTCTGGCAACCCCACATAGGCAGTTGCATCATCATACACATAGGGTCAGAACTCTGGCTGGAAACAAACTTGTGCTCGGTAAGAAAGGAGAGTTACCTAGGTTAGCAGACTTATAAAAGGCGTAAAAGTTATGAGGAAGCTTATTGGAGTTATCATTAGCAAAAGCAAATGACACTAAGACACTTCACACACCTGGAAAACATCATTTATACCATTTATATGATTTTCTTACCTAACTCATGAGGCAACTCATGACAAAACACAGCAACAGAAGTACTTAAACCACTTGATAAACCTTCAGTAAAAGCGGCACCTGTGTAAAATCAATCAAAGTTTGGCTACATTATTTTGTGAGTGTGTTTTAAAAAATCTTACCAGCATACAAAATAAGGTAAAAGAAATAAACTATATTCTGGTTGTGAATAAATAGAACTTTCCAAATTGCACTCTGTATCTTCCTTATAAGTAATCTTATATTTCCTTCAATTAGATTTAAATTTTCCAAAGGAGCACAAGCAGGTATGATTAAGGGAAAATTCTACTATGCCTTAGAGTGATTAAGATGACCTTGTATAAACCTAAGGCGTAATTGCTACCACATGAACATATATTTAAAAATATGAAATAAATTTATTTAAAAGGTTTAGAAAAAAACATAAATATGTTTCACTGGCTCAGAGGAATTCATTATGTAATTAGACTTGTTTACATTCATTTTTTCATTATCTCATAAAGAGAGTCTAAGACAAATAGCTCTCCCCCTTTTATTATACAACTGATCACCTATAAACGATGACAGAACATTTGTACATCCTCCTTCGTTGTTATGTTGCACACAGAAGAGACGAGGAAGAGCACTCTAGGCTCCCACAGAGCTAAGGCCTGGGCTCATCTCAGCCGGGATACAAACCAGCACTGCCTCCTTGGGCAAGTGGTTCACCTTGCCAGGACTTAGTTGCTTAATTTCTAATCATTTCCATGGTTCCTTCTAGCATTGAGTCACAAAAATTTTAAGTATTCTAGTATCTCCCAATTGTGGTATAACAATTTAATAGCAAAAACTCTGTAATTCTTCTTTGGATAGAGATTGGTAACTGAACTTACCAGATAAACATTCCTTTAGCAAAAAAGAAAAGGTGATGGAAATGATTCTTTTACTTTATACTGAAGAAAAGGGAACTCAAAAATGTATAGGGCAAAATCCCCCACACATGCTCCATATACTTAGAGACTGATCTTCAGACCTTGTAAATTAAAAAAACTTTTGATTGTTATAATTTAGGTAATGGCTAGCCACAGTTTCTATTACTTAATCTTACCTAACATTTACTGACTACTTCATTGTCAAAGTAGCCAAAGATGAAATATTTTGACAATCTTAAAAGTTAAGAGCCTTATCAAAATCAACCTATTTTAGCTAAAATTGGGGGCTAATGTGACATTTTCAGAGTTAGCCACAAGGGGAAATATGTAGATGTATACCGATTGCTAGGCCATCACTGAAATTGTGCAGACCGTCACCCATTATCACCATCCAGGCCAAAGTGGCAATGCCAGCATCTTTCAGCTCCTCCCGAGAGTAGCGCTGACTATGACTGTGGGGGTGGTGGTTTTGGTGGTGGTGATGATGGAGGATATGATGGTAGTCATGGTGGTGGTGAATGAGATCATCTGATTGGCCAAGTGTATCATGGAAATGTGAGTGGCATTTATTCTTGCACCCTCTGGGTACATATTCATTATAGACTTCCTGTGGATGAGCATGAGCTATCATGACCTCTTCTTCTTCCAAGACTGCTGGCTGTTGTGAATCAAAGTGGGAGGGCTCTTGTGAATCCGCTCGTAAATAGCCTTCAGTTCCTAGGTATAAATATAAAGGACATTGGGACAAAGTCAAAAGGCTTTGTTAATGTGCTTGGACACATTTCAAACATTCCCACTGACAGTTAAAGTCAAAAAAGGTCTTAAGTCATGGCAAATGTCTCACATATACCTGCAGAACTAAACATTATAGTAGTGATGAAAAATATCAATAGGTTTTAATGAATTTTATAACTTAAATGATCTTACATATTAAGAATGGATTTTAAACACTAATCTTCAGTAACTACCTCCTAGATACTCCCTTAATTTCTTCTGTCCCCCACTACAGTTTTAAAGATGACTTTTTTCTTGGTTATAAAAGCACATATTTTTGGAAAAATACTGAAAATTAGAAATAAAAACATGTATAATTCTGTTGTCCAACTTCCTCTTTTTTGAAGGAAAAATTCAAGGAAAAACAAAAGAATCTTAAATACCATCATCACCAGGAACCATTTATTATCTACTTGTACAAAGAAAATTTCAACAATAAGGCTTTGTTTTTCCTTTATCCTGTACACTGGTTATCACTTTTCTTGGGGGCATTCCTGACACTATGGTCCAATTCTAGAGCAGCTAGACCCTCTTATAATTGTATATTTCACTGCAGTCCATTACAAAGGTTGAAGAGAGAAAAGATGTAAGAGCAAGAGCATTTTACTTGCTCTTTAGAGAAAGCATGTTGGAAAACAAAGGGTGGACAGGAAACCTTACTGATAGTCAGCAGCAAAAAAGTTTTTCTCCCTCCTCAGTCAGCAGCTCCCTACTGAGCACCCTGCCTGGCACCAGTGACAGAATAGAGCAGGACCAAGTCTCTCCCTTCAAGAGATTTACATTCTTGTGGGAAAGCAGGCACTTCAAGGAAACACATGTATAAATAAGGTAATTTAAGGAACTGCAAAGCAGGTATGATTTGGGAAGAACACAGAAAAGGGTAAGAGGAAGGAGAGTGACTGGAAGAACTTTGTATTTGGGTGATCAGGGAAGGCCTCTGAGGAGGAAATACCTGAGTTGAGACCCAAATAATAGGAGGCAGAATTAATGTGAAGGTCTGGGAGAAGAGACTTCTGAAAAGAAACAGTGAATGCAAGGCTCTGAGACAAACCTGGTGTGCTCACAGGATGAAAAGATGAGTGAGGCTGGACACAGTGAGCAATGGGGGAGACTGGAGAGCAGGGTAGGACTGAAGGTCATGGTGAGAAGTTTGGTTTAAAATTTTAATCTTAACTGAATCTGTCCAACAAGAAATGCTGAACTAACAGTTAACTTATTGGAAAATTAGTAACCCTACAGTGAAGAAACATGGTAGACACAACCTCAGCCAAGTGATCAAAATTAACGTCACCAGTATGTGACAAAGAGCATCATGTCAGGTATGCACCGTCACTGAAAAGGATACTATACCACTTTGTGGTATACTTGCCACAACTGATTAATTTATGATTATACTAATCATTAAAAAAATTAGACAAATCCAAAATGAGGGGCACAACATTTGATCCTGGACTGTACTCTGGACTACTTTTTTCTGTTAAGACAGTTGGAAAAATGTTAATAAGATCTACAGACTAGATAATTGTATCAAATCAGCATTACCTTCCTGACTTTGATAACTTCCTGACTTACATAACTGTGGTTATGTAAGAGACTGTCCTTTTCCTTAGGAAACAAACAATGTAGTATTTAGAGGTAAAGAAACAATATGTCAGAAACTTAATCTCAAACGGTTTAGGAAAAAATGTGTGTGTATGGGTACACAGAGAGAATGATAAAAATAAGTAAAATAACAAGAAGCAATAAAGGGATATAAGAATTCTTTGTATTGCTGTTGAAACTTTTCTATAAGTCTGAATTTACCCCAATACAATTAAAGAAAAAAACACAAATACACATAAAAACTCACTGGCAATTAAAAAGTATGAGATACTTTAAAAAAAAAAAAGGACACGTGGTCCGATCTCTTCCAGATAGTTCGAATTGCCTGCAAATCATGAGGTTTGTAAGACCAGACAGTGCAAACCTTCCAGCCCTCAGATTCATAAGGACTTACGATCATCAGTATCTACTTTCTCCTCATTTGATGTAAGTTGAGATTCATACTTGGACAATTGCTTCTTAATATCCACATCATCATCACTTTCTGTTTTTTTCTGATTCTAAAATATCAAGGGAAAACAATGCTTTAAAATGATTTATGTGTATAGCTTTAAATAAACAGTTAAGCAAAAGACAGTTAAACTAAAGATACAGAAAAAAGACAACAGAGTAACAGACCTCTTTGGAATGAAAGCCATCTAAGGGCAGGGCTTACTTTACTTGCATAGCATCTAGTAGTGTGTCTCAGGTGTAGTAATTGTTAGAAAGGTGAAGAATCAATTCCTTGGTAATATGAAATGTAGAAAAATCACATCCACCTTTCTGAAATGTCCCATGGGTCATCTACTCTAAGTGTGGTCTTACATAAGCAGCACAGCATCCCCTGCCAGCTTGTTAGAAATGACTAATGTCAGGCCACACCTCAAAACAAATGAATCAGAATGGGGATTTTAACTAGATCCCAGGTGATTCATACACACATTAAGATTGAGCTGTGCCTCAGGTTATCTATTTCAAACCAACCAGAGGCATTTTCTTTAGGGATGATCTGCTAACCCAATTGCTTGATTTTCTCCATCCCCCTTTTGGACACTGAAACCCAAACTTACCATGCTTTTTATAACCTAAAACTATGACACTAATATGAATTTGTTACTGCAACTAAAATACTTTTCCTATAATAAAACACCACTAGGGATTTTCAAGATGGCGGCATGAGTAGGGTGGCAGAAATCTTCTCCCAAAACCATTATATTTTGAAAATACAGCAAATACAATTATTCCTAAAAGAGTGACCAGAAGATACAGTACACCAGCCAGGCTACATCTACATCTGCGAGAGCTCAACATCTCACAAAAAGGGTAAGATACAAAGCTGTGACCCGGCAGCACCCAAGCACTCCCCCAACCCCAGCTCACTGGAGGGAGGAAAGGAATCAGAGTTGGGAGGGAGTGGAAGCAGAGGACTGATAAATAATCAGCCCTAGTAATCTGCACCAGGAGGAGAGAGACACATTGCATGGTATACTGGATATTAGAAGAATGGAAAAAGCAAAATCTGAGAGTAAGACTGCGAACAGGTTCCCACAGCTGGCTGCCCAGGGACAAAAGAAGAGCGGGCATGTTAAAAGTATTAAAGGGACAAGGGTTCAACAGGTGGACAAAATCATCCTGGCACACTCATCCCAGCAAGATGGGAACTTCAAAGAACTTCAGACTCCCTAACCCCCTCAGTGGTAATGCAGCACCAAAGCCCTTCATGGTGACAAGGAGCCTGCCGTTCATTACCCTCCACCAGCATTGCAAGTGAATGGGCTGACCTGCCATTGCTGTGGAGCAACCAGGGAGCAGCCCCACCCACAGCAATCACACAGAGGTTTCTCCCAGCACGGCTAACCTGGCTAGACCGAGGCTGCCCCCTGCCTACAGTCAACTGACACAGATAGCAGAGACTGGCACAGAGTCCAGAAGGCACAAAGGGGCTTTATTTTTGCGGCGAACACACACTGCTCACCTGTAACTCCCGCCAGTGCCCAAGGCCATCCCGAGGGCTGCCCCACCAAAGGCAGCTCAGGGGATTAACCCAGAGGCTGCCCCCTGCACCCGCCTGACCAGCACAGGCAGAGGAAACAGGTGTGAAGTCTGTGAAGCACACAGGAGCTTTGTTCTCATGGTGAACACATGCTGAACGCCTGTAACCACTGCCAGCACCCAAGACAATACCGAGTGTTGCCCTGTCCACAGCAGCTTAGGGGATTAACCTGGAGGCTGCCCCCTGCACCCGGTTGACCGGCACATGCAGAGGAAACTGGTGTGGAGTCTGGGAAACATGTAGGGGTTCTGTTTTTGTGGAGAACATGCACTGCACACCTGCAACCACCACCAGTGCCCTAGATCATCCTGAGGACCGCCCTGCCTATGGCAGATCAGGGGATCAAACCAGAGGTTGTTCCCTGTGTGTGGTTGCCTGGCACAGGCATGGAGTTCCGAAAGCATGAAGGGGCACCGTTCTCACAGGAGAACACATGCTGCTTGCCTGCAACCCCCACAAGAGCCCTAGGCCATCCCAAGGGCTGCCCCACCCATGGCAATTCAGGGAATTAACCCAGAGGCTGCTCCCTGTGTGTGGTTAACTGGCACAGGCAGCAGAGATGGGCAGGGCAAACAGCAAGCAGGAAGGGACTTTGTTATACCAGCTAACACATGCACCACTCACAGGCGATCACTGCCATCGCCATGAAAAGGCAGAAGAATCTTATTCAGTCCAAAATCCCTTGAACACCAGAGAGAGGGCCTGGTGAGACCAAAATCACCAATCTTCCTGAAAAAAATTCAAAATAAAAGTCATAAGAATGCTGAAGGAGCTAGAGAGAAATATGCAAGAGCCAAGGGATGAATTCTGGAGGGAGATAACAGAAATGAAACAAACAGTGAGAAGATTTAAGAGCAGACTGGATGAGGTTCAAGAGGCTGTTAATGGAATAGAAATCAGAGAACAGGAATACAGCAAAGCTGAGGCACAGAGAGACAAAAGGATCTCTAGGAATGACAGAATATTTAGAGAACTGTGTGACCAATCCAAAGTGAATAATATTCACATTATAGGGTACCAGAAGAAGAGAGAGAAAAAGGGATAGAAAGTGTTTTTCAAGAAATAATTGCTGAAAACTTCCCCAAGCTGGGGAAAGGAATAGTCTCTCACACCATGGAAGTCCACAGATCTCCCAACACAGGGATCTAAGGAGGACAACACCAACACATATAATAAAAAAATGGCAAAGATCAAAGAAAAGGACAGAGTATTAAAACCTGTCAAAGACAGAAAAAAGATCACTTACAAAGGAAAACCCATTAGGGTATCATCAGACTTCTCAGCAGAAACCTTACAGGCCAGAAGAGAATGGCATGATATATTCAATGCAATGAAACAGAAGGGCCTCGAACCAAGAATACCATATCCAGCAAGATTATCATTTAAATTTGAAGGGCAGATTAAACAGTTCCCAGATAAGAAAAAGTTGAGGGAATTTACCTCTCAACAAACTGTCTCTACAGTGTATTTTAAAGGAACTGCCCTAGATCAAAGTACTCCTAAGGCTAAATAAACATCACCAGAGAAAATAAAACCACAGAAAAGAAAGTAGATCAACCAAATACTGACTAAATGCAAAATAAAATCAGCTATCCACAAAATCGGTCAAGGGAAACACAAAAGAGTACAGAATAAAACACCCAACATACAATGAGTGGAGGAGGAAGAAAAAGAAGGGAGAGAAATAAAGACTCATCAGAATGTGTTTAGAATAGCATAATAAGTGAGTTAAAGTTAGACGGTCAGAAAGTCAAGAAGCTACCCTTGAACCTTTGGTAACCATGAATCCAAAGTATGTAATGGCAATAAGTACTTATCTGTCAATAATCACCCTAAATGTAAATGGGCTGAATGCAACAATCAAAAGACACAGAGTAATAGAAAGTACAAAAAAGCAAGACCCATCTATAAGCTGTCTACAAGAGACTCACCTCAAACCGAAAGACATACACAGAGTAAAAGTGAAGGGATGGAAAAGATATTTCATGCAAACCATAGGGAGAAAAAAGCAGGTGTTGCAGTACTTGTATCAGACAAAATAGACTTTAAAACACAGAAAGTAACAAGAGATAAAGGACATTACATAATGATAAAGGAGTCTGTCCAACAAGAGGATATAACCATTATAAATATCTATGCACCCAACACAGGAGCACAGAAATATGTGAAACAAATACTAATAGAATTAAAGGAGGAAACAGAATGCAATGCATTCATTTTAGGAGACATGAACACACCACTGACTCCAAAGGACAGATCAACCAGACAGAAAATAAGTAAGGACACAGAGGCACTGAACAACACACCAGAACAGATGGACCTAACAGACATCTATAGAACTCTACACCCAAAAGCAACAGGATACACATTCTTCTCAAGTGCACATAGAACATTTTCCAGAATAGACCACATACTAGGCCACAAAAAGAGCCTCAGTAAATTCAAAAAGACTGAAATCCTACCAAACAACTTCTCAGATCACAAAGGTATAAAACTAGAAATAAACTGTACAACAAAAACAAAAAGGCCCCCAAATACATGGAGGCTTAACAACATAGTCCTAAATAATCAATGGATCAATGACCAAATTAAAACAGAGATCAAGCAATATATGGAGACAAACTAAAACAACAGTACAATGCCCCAACTTCTGTGGGACACAGTGAAGGCAGTTCTAAGAGGAAAGCATACAGCAATCCAGGCCTATTTAAAGAAGGAAGAATAATCCCATATAAATAGTCTAAAGTCACAATTATTGAAATTGGAAAAAGAAGAACAAATGAGGCCCAAAATCAGCAGAAAGAGGGACATAATAAAGATCAGAGAAAAAATAAATACAATTGAGAAGAATAAAACAATAGAAAAAATCAATGAAACCAAGAGCTGGTTCTTTAAGAAAATAAACAAAATAGATAACCCACTAGCCAGACTTATTAGGAAAAAAGGAGAATCTACCCATATAAACAGAATTAGAAATGAGAAAAGAAAAATCATGATGGACACCACAGAAATACAAATTTTTAGAGAACACTATGGAAATCTTTGTGCTAACATACTGGATAACCTAGAGGAAACGGACAACTTCCTAGAAAAATATAACCTCACAAGACTGACCAAGGAAGAAACAGAAAATCTAAACAGACCAATTACCAGCAACAAAATTGAATCAGTAATCAAAAAACTACCCAAGAATAAAACCCCTGAACCAGATAGATTCACCACGGAATTTTATTAGACATTTAGAGAAGACATAATACCATTCTCCTTAAAGTTTTCCAAAAAATAAAAGGAGGGAATAGTTCCAAACTCATTTTATGAAGCCAGCATCACTATAATATAAAAACCAGGCAGAGACACCACAAAAAAAGAAAATTACAGGCCAATATCCCTGGTGAACATAGGTGGAAAAATACTCAAGAAAATATCAGCAAACCGAATTCAATAATACATCAAGAGGATCATACACCA